GAGGGAGAGACGGTGGCGGGGAGTTGCTCGGCGATAGAGGTAGGGGCGGCGGGGGCGGGCTCGGGATCGGGGGAGACGGCGGCGAGGCGGGTCGAGGGAGACGGCGGCGAGGCGGGGTCGGGGGAGACGGCGGCGAGGCAGGGTCGGGGGAGACGGCCGCGAGGCGGGGTCAGGGGAGACGGCGGCGAGACGGCGGCCAGGCGGAGGCGACGAGGGGGAGAAGAGAGAGTGGAGAATTGGGGGAGGAAGCAGAGGAGTGGGAATCAGGCCGCGCGTGGGGTTAGGTGAAACTAGCTTTAACAGTAGTGTGGGGAGGAAAAACTCGTTGCTGCTAAAATCCGTAGTAGTAGTGCCGTTTCTAGAAGGGCGCTACTACTATACCTAGCATGTCGAGACCGGTGTGGCAATTGTAGTAGTAGCGCGTTCTGTTCCTGCCGCGCTACTGCTAAGGGGGTAGTAGTAGCGCGGTTTAGCCAGACGCACTACTGCCAAGTAGCAGCAGCGCCTTATTTTAACAAGCGCTACTGGTAAGATTCTATGTATAAGGTTTTCCCTAGTAGTGTAATGCTGACAGGCACAGTACTTGAGGATTTATAACAGAGTTTCAATCACACACTTATTACTTCGAATGTCTCAAAAGAGAACTTATTACAATAAAATGGCTTAAGGCCATCTAAACAAGATAACAACGGAAGGCTTGGAAGATAAAGTGAGTCCATCAACTCCAACGGCATAGCTGAATGAACGACGACGACCTATGGCACCTTACTCGTCGTCTGAAAAGTTTGAAACATGATATGTTGCAGCCCGAAATGGGTCAGCACATGGAATATGCTGGCAATGTAACACAAAGGAGTAATGAACAGAATACATGCTATCACTACATGCATACGTGGTTGATGGAAAGCTCTATGGTTAGAGTTTTGCATAAAGACAATTTTTCCCTACATCAAAGGAATAAATTTTATTTAACTATCATGGTGGTAGTTAATTGAGAAGGTTACTCCAACTCAATCCCAATTAAACATCATCAATTACCCAACAAAGTTAAATTAGAGTGATGAGATCAACATGATAATCCAAGAACCAGGTACTCAAGATGTTCATAACCGGGAACACCGCTAACCATGATTAGTTTGTACACTTTGCAGAGGTTTGCGCACTTCTCCTCACAAGACTCGATCTCCTCCGTTGAATTTCTCGCACTACATGGCGTTTGAGAAACGGATGACCGAGACATAGTCTATCAGAGACATTAACTATTTACTCTGGGTGTACAATTACACCTACTTTCTCCTACATCTGCTAGCCCACCACTAAAAGAGGTCATGCAATGTACTCAACTATGCTAGAGCCCATAATAGCTTGTGGTTGCACACGGAAGTTTCTAGCATGAATAATCTTATGATCCCTTTGAGCCTGGGTGGCGAACCGTAGGATGATCACATGGGTACTCCTAGATATCCTAGGACAACACTGGATTCTTCAGGTGCCCGTAACCAATCCACCCAGATGTGAATTCAAGTAGCCACCTTAAGTTAATCATTAATTAATAATTCTCACATCTGTCATGGATACACTCACCCAATCCACGTCTACAAGCATAGCATAGCAATCCTGAGCAATCGTAGAAGTAACTCCGAAAGGTTTGATAATAAATAGGCAATAGGTTCTACATCATCATCTACTTCCCAAACTCAAATGTTATACTAATCCTATGACACTGATTCAAATGATGACATACTTGATTGTGGCATGGTCTATTTTGCAGATAAAGGACTGATGCAAAAAAGGAGCTGGAGCTGGGTTCAAAACATCTTAAACGAGTAGCAAGTGAAGTCTACAAGTCAGCGCAGGGGTGGAGATATAACGTGCCTAGGTTACATGAAGCTTGAGGAGTCAGGCTGGGCATGGATGAATCTTCACTTCGAATGCAGTCGCTGATTAGTTTAGGCTTGCGTTTGCTATGGTTTTTAGCTGCTTTTGATGTTCTTCTGCTAAACTTGTAATCGACTGGACCTTTGCCGTTTGTCTTGGCTTGGATGTGGCGGTGACATTTCCCTGTGTTGCGTTGGGGTGCGCCAAGCTGGGCAGTAGTTAGGGCCTGTTTGGTTTCAAATAAGTCACCAACTTATAAGTCGAAAAGTGACAAAAGTGACTTATTTTACCAAGCAGACCCGACTTATAAGTCACCCCAACTTATAAGTCATAAGTTGCTCCACCCCAACTTAAAACTTATAAGCCACCCCCTTTTGCGTGGGTCCCACCACCTGCATGATGTTGATTGGTGTGGGAAGGTGTGTCAGGTGACTTATAAGTCAGGTGACAACCAAACAGACATGACTTATTGGAACCAAACAGGCCCTTATGCCTGTTTCTGTTCATGTTGCATCTAGTAGTAGTCTCGTAGCTGTTGTTGGTCCTCTTTTAAGATTGGTGCTTGTAACTCGCTTTTGGTTTCCCTTAATGAAAATTGCAGAGGCAAACCCTCTGATAGAAAAACATAAGCAGGCAACCAAATAATCTACAGAACATGGTTTTCAACCTACATTAACCCAGCCAGACTCAAATGAGCCACTGATGCAAATATGAAAGATCGGTTGAGGTAACCAAACGCATCCTTAACCATGCTCTAAAGACGGTGAGACAGGCGGGCGCAAGGTAAGGATTCAGCCGGCCCCGCTCTAGCCAGAGAGAAAGGCGAAAGCGAGACCTAGCGATACGTTGTCCTCCGCAAAGGGGAGGGGAATATATGACGAGCAAAGCCGCCCCCTCTTTCCCATAAAGCCATGCTAGCTGATACACTTACACGAGAAAGAAAGGAATAAAACAGGATCAGATCGAGACACCCCGATCATCCATCACACAGCAACCTCCTCGATCCTTCACGTTCAGTGCAGGTTAGCATCCTATCCAAATACTCTATTAGCCAACTTTCTCGTATGCGGCAGGAAGCAATGGCAGATGCAAAGGTTCCCAAAGGCTCCATGCTTCTTTTTCAAGGCATGCATGCATGCCCCATCGATCCCAAAATCAAGTGCTAATGAACTTGTTTAGCTAGTACACAAAAGGAAGTGCGTGTCACTTGGGATGAACTTGCTTAGCTCGATCAAGATCTCTAGCTTGATTAGCTTGCTAGCTAGCTAGCCCATTTCTCCAAGCAGCAACCGTACCACTTCAATGCAACACACCACCGCTTATTAGGCTCGGCAAAACTGTGAGCTGTGTGGCTCACCGCAATAACTAAAGCTAGCCAGCTAGGTGCTGCAAAGATGCTACGGCTGCCCTACGAGTGGAATGGCTAGTTTTTGGCTTGATTTTAGCATGTCACCGCGATGCACCGCACGTAGGGCTAAACTAGGTGGTTCACCGAAAGGAACGGGTCTCTACACGTCGACGTCGGCCTCCCGGCCGTTGCCGGCCACGAGGCGCCTCATCTCCTCCTGCTCGCCCTCGGTGGCGGTCGCCGTCGTCTCCGGGCCGGTGCCGGTCAGCTTCCGCGCGCGCATGGCCTCGACGCGCCAGTCGGTGCGCCACACGACGGCGACCAGCACCAGGGCCACGCAGGCGGCCTGCGCGGACAGCAGCCCGTACCACAGCCCGCCGAACCCGGTCCACGGCCAGGGCCCGAACGCCAGCAGCACCGCCACGGGCGTGCCGACGAGGTAGAAGGAGAGCAGGTTGATGCGGGCGCCCACGGCGGGCCTGGCCGTGCCGCGCAGCACGCCGCACCCCGTGGTCTGCGGGCAGTTGCCCAGCTCGCACAGCCCCAGCACCGGCATCGCCGCCGACGCCAGCAGCACCACCGACGGCTCCCGCGTGAACAGCGACACCCACTGCGCGCTGAACGCCGCCGTCCACGCCACGTGCGCCAGGCCCACGCCCGCCGCGCACCACAGCGCCACCGTCGCCGCCATCCGCGCACGCCGCGGCTTCCCGGCGCCCAGCTCGTTGCCCACCTGCATGCATCCACCCACCATGCAAATCAGAAAACCACCATGCATGCCCTGCTAAAGCTCAACAAGATCGATCGATTAACACAAACACAGAAATGGTGCGCACTGCAGAAACAAACAGTGGCCACAGTGGAGTGAGGAGCTGGTCTTGTCTTTTCCGGCAACTGAGCAGTGGGAGCACTGCTGCCGCATGTGGCCCGGCGGCTAGCTACTGCAGCGGCCATTGATTGGTCAACTCAGCTGCTATGTGTGCACAGTGGTGCAATTGTGTGCATGCTGCCACGAAGAGACCAGACCAGGCCACGCCATGGGCCAGTGGAAGAAGAAGAAAGCAACCAAAGCTTTTACCACTGCAAACCTTGTCGTTTCTGTCTCTCGTCGCTGTAACTAGTAAAACTCAACTTTTCACCTGCACTATTTTACCTGGGGTAAAAACAGCAGCTGTCTAGTCTAGCTACCTGGGAATCTACCTAAGAAAGGAACGTGGGAGTGTGCCTTTTGGGACTCAGAATATACGTCAGTTTTTCCTTTTTCTTAGGGGAATATATGTCACTTAATTCGGTCCAAATATTCCGTTTACCCGATCAGCTGGGTCTTTTTAAATAAAAAAATTCAACGTTATTTTTTAAGATAATGGTTATGAAAGCTCTAACTACTAGAGTATGTAGTATGTACCCAAATTCACCGAAATTGAAGTATGTAGCCAAGGAAAATATGTAGGTAGCAGCTATATAGTGGGAAGATATTTTGTGCTTCAATGGAAGTATGGCAACATTTATTTTGCCGTTTTGGAAGTAGGTCTATGGCAAATGTGTGCAGCTAGCCTAGCTAAGGAAGTGTGTGCGGTGCATCCAACTTTTGTTCCGACTGATATTGAATGAAACTATGTTTTGACAAGACTAGCTCAAAGCAGCTAGACAGACTTGCGTGTCTCCCAAAAACAAGCTCGCATCTTCGAAGTGTCAAAGAACCCAATATACAGGATGTTTTGACAGAATTTAGCTCAAGAAAATTGGATTTTCTTTTACAAAAAGCATGCATGCAGGGCAAAGAAATCTTCATTTCCAAAAACAGATGGTACAAAGTGACCCCAAAATATGGCGTAAAAAATGGAGGAAAAATTAAGCTTGGTCTCGTAAATCATGCATGGGACCAAAAACGCAAGTGAATATCGGTTGGGTATCATGCAAAACAGAAGGTGCAAAAAAAAGAAGGAAAGAGAGCACCAGAAAATGTGTGAGCAAGAGGGATGTGCCGGCACAATAAGTTACGTGTGATACGTCCCATGATGATGCATGCTCGCAACAAACTCATCATCACCAGCAATATAACAACCTCTCGCCCACATCACCAACGGATCGGTCGATCGATGCGATGTGATTGAAACCCCAAAAGGAATTTGGCAGTTGGGTGATCGACACGAATCAAAATAATAATAATTCTTTGTGGAAAGTTGATGACAATGGCGGGCAAGTGTTCATTTCACGAATCAAAGATTTCTTTTCCTTTTGGAAAGTTGACACCAATGGCGGGCTGGGCTAGTGTTTCCTAATCTTATTCTTACCCGGGTGGAGACGCAGGCCGCGAGCGCCATGGGCACGGTGTACATCAGGCTGGTGGTCTGGATAAGGACTCCGGCCGCGCCGACGGCGGCGGTGGGGTTCTGGAGGTAGCCCGCGAGCACGGTGACGACCTCGTACCACCACCACTCGAGGCACACGCCGATGCAGCTGGGCACGGCCAGGCGGACGAGCCCGCCGAGCCCGCTGGCGACGGCGGCCGGCCGCGCGAAGCCCCTCCACGTGTCGTCGCACGCGCCCGCCCAGCGTACGTAGGCGAGCAGGAAGAGCACCATGTTGGTGTTGGTGAGCGCCTGCGCGGCCGCGACGCCGCGCACGCCGAAGCCCATGCGGAAGACGAGGAGAAAGTTGAGCGGGATGTGCAGCGCGACGGCGGCGGCGGAGCAGGCGGCCATGGGCTTGGTGATGCCCTGGGACCGAAGGTAGACGCGGAGCGGCTGGAGAACGGCCAGCGCGGCGAGGTCCGGGAGCGCCCACGCGGCGTATGCGGCGGCGGAGGCGGAGAGGGCCGGGTCCTGGCCGAGCGCGACGAGGATGGGGCCGACGTTGAGCCAGAGCAGCGCGATGGGGACGGCGGCGATGGCGAGCAGCAGCACGGCGCGGTGGAGGGAGAGCGTGAGCAGGTCGTAGTTGCGGGAGCCGTAGGCCTGGGCACAAAGCGGCTCGAGACCGGACGCGAGGCCGAAGAGCACGCTGTGGCCCGTGATGTTAGTGAGCCCGATGGCGAGGGCGCCGCCGGCGAGGTCGAGCGGGCCGAGCCGGCCCAGGCAGAGCACGGACACCATGGCGCGCAGGTACACAACGCAGTTGAGCGCCGTGATCGGCGCCGCCATGCGCCACAGCTCCCGCAGCTCCTCCGCCGCCGAAGGGTTGTCGTCGCCGCCGTCCACGTCGCTGCCTTGGCCGCCCTTGCTTCCGTTCTCCTGCTGCTTCTTCGCCTGGAGCGGGATGGCCATGTCGGCGCCTCTTTGTTGGCTGGTTAGCCGGTGTTTGCTGTCGTTGGCGAGGCAGGGCAGAGGCGACGCGCGACCGAGAAGAGGAGGCAGAGTGCGCGCTGGTGTGAGGCGAGGGAGCGACGAATGGTGTTTCGTTTCCGGCCGGGCTCGCTCCCGTGTATCTGTATACGAATGACTCTTGGGATTTGGTTGCTCCGTCTATAAATGTGACCGCGCAGACGCGTTACCTGTCTGCCATGAAAGACGCTGCAGTTTCGAGGGTTCTCATTATTGTATCTCTACATATACCACTGCCGCCGCAAACGCAGATACGAACCTGTGGGCAGTACGGCGTCGGCCCACCCGACCCTACAGAGGAGCCAACGAGCCAATGGCCGTTTGTATTGCACTCCGCAACTCCCCAGAGGACATCGCCTGACAAACGGCGGGATCTGTCCAGCACGAGTCCATTGCGTCGGCGCACCGGACGCTCGGATCCCTTGGGGCTGGATCATCGCGGTCCTCCCGGAAGCCTTCCAATCTCCCTTTCCCATTAGTTGTCCATCAGAGTATGTGTGCTACCAGTACTGGTGTGTCCGCCTTGGAAAGGAGAGGATGAGGGTGGCTGAGGCCCGCCTCGCTACCGACATGGCGGCGGCCGAGGTGGCTAATGCGGAGGCGTTGGGTGCCGCAGAGGAGGAAGCCATCCGCGCCCGCATTGTAAACAAGCAGCAGCGGAGGAATACGCGTGCCCTGACCTGAGAACATAGTCGGGTGGTCCGTGCCATGGCCGGACTGCCGCCAAGGAGGAGAAGGACAAACGACAGGTTGGACAGCTTTGGCGATGCGCAGATCCGGCTCGATCTATACTGTGTTTTCTACCGCTATTTCCGCGAGAAGGTTGCCAAGGGCGCCGAGAAGAGTAAGGGCTCTCCATAACTACCATGTTGGTAAACATGCAAATTTTGATAGTCCGATGGCATGTCTTGATGTAGTAGCCGGACGATGTGTGTAAGTTACACCGTTTACATAGTTGTAAGAGTTTGTGTCAATTTGAGGTATGCTAATTGAGGTCTCCGGTTATGAGAAGAGAAATTTGAGGTGTGACCGGTCAATGCCCATGGATGCGCACAGTCACGTCCACGGGCTTTTGAGGGGCCAGATTTGCCATGTCCAGCCGTAGATGCTCTTAGCACACAAAATCTCTTCTCCCGTCATCCCTACATTACGCCTGCGAGCGTGTCTTACAGATGACCTTTCGCTGAACCGTAGCGAATTTGAACCGGCCTATTTGACGCTTGCATTAATTCATCAAATCGGCACTTCTCTAAAGAAAAGTCATGCATTTACTCATTCTAATCAAATCTTAAAAAACCCGAACTCAATCCAAACTTTCTTTGCCTTTCACTACCCATAGCCAGAGCAAATCAAATTTTACCAAAACATCAACTATAATCAAGGTTGGCCGGACCATTTGACGTGTGCGCGCATTTTTATTATTTTTTTCTATGTTTTTTTTTCTGTTTGATCTCTACTTCTAAAGTTGGAGTTGGTAGGCCGGTATCTATGGTTTATTTTTGCCTCATCGGTTTAGTTTCGCCTCACCTCTCACCACACTGGTTTTCTTTCCTCCCATCCCATCTCATGCTGTTTTTTTTCCTTCACCTTCCACATTCATTTTTTCTTCTTCGATCCGGTTTCTCTTCGGCTCCATACTCTCCATCCTCATCCACTCAAATGCACCAAATTCTCCCAAGGAAAATAATCCGGATAGAATCTTGATCGCAAGAGCGAGTTGTGTGAATCCACTCAATCTTGACCGCACATATCCAAACAGCAACACACGAGATCTTCCAAATAACGTACCAAATCAAATCATCTTAATTAAGAAAAAAGAACATCTTATAACAGAATTACGAATTAAAAGAATGTCTTAAATCAGGAAACAAATCAATCATGTCAAAAAAGAAAGAAAGAAATTAGTCACGTCAAAAAGAAAGCAAATCGCCCATGTTCGGAAAAAAGGGAAAGAAACTTAGCACCCACGTAAAAAAACCAAGCACGCACCTGCTGCATGCACGCTCGGCCGCCCACCTCCACTTCCCTCGCCACGCCCATGCCTGCCGCCGCTCGCGCCGGCCAACGGCTAGCACGGCCGTGCTTCTTTATGCACTCCTGCACGCCGGTCATGAACCACGCAGGCTTCTGTACCTACTGGCAGCCGGTTACCACTCGATCACCGGATACCACATGGATACGTACAACCTGTTACCACTCGATCTACAACCCATCGGAAACCTACTCGATGCCCCGATGTCCTCCTTTGAGGCTGGCAATGCTCAAGAAATATCTATAAAAGACGATCTTGGAGGTGCAGAATTTTGCTGGGATCCGTGTTGGTCCTCCCCATTGCTGTTACCATGCAGTAGGTTTTTATGCATGTCTGCGTGCATCATCAACGGTTTGTAGCCACAACGCCTTCCCCTTACAACTAGTTACTATTGGGCTGCCTTTCAGCATAATGAAAAGTTGTTAAGATGGGATTTTGCCTCCTCACGTACACCTTCAAAAAACATATATTCTCACCATAGGTTGGGTAGCAACTATTTGGAATATCCTTATGTTATGTTTATAGTTTATTTTGGTTTTGTATTCTTCAACGCCCAGTAGGAAGAATAAGATGTTCCAAGAAAATTATGCTTTCAGTACTTGCTTAGTACATATGTCAAATTACTTTTCAATAGCAACACCGAACAACGATAATATAGCATTTCATAGAACTTATGTTAAAAGGGTTTGTGTAACTTAAGTGAGGTGAGTGCACATTTCGTCTCACAACTTATTCAGTTGTTTAATTTTCAGTTACTCGCCTTTTTATGTAACCTCTTCCATAACTACCAATAGCTCAAACTTTTGGTCCATCATAATAAAACCCGGATGTGACCACCACATAGCTCTCTCTCTCTCTCTGTCTCACACACACACCGG